ACAGAAACTAAAAATAACAGTAAGGGAAATACTTCGTTTTGAGAACAGCGAATACGTTCAATTTTATTATTATTATTATTATTTTTCTTGAAGCGAAGAGGAGAAAAACACACCTGACTCAAGTTCGTTGTTGCCCCATGAGTTAATTGTTCCGATGTTCATTGAACTTTTATCTACATTTTTTATTGATCATTAAAATTTAAAATATCGAATTTTAATTATTGAACTTTGAAAGTTATACGTTATTTACCGACATAACTTCCATCTCAAACTTATAATGAAATTGATGACGTGGTTGACGGAATACAAATGTTGCACCCCGTCACATCGTTATTTATTTGAGATAATCGGATTTTGGTCTCTAAACTTAAAAAACTATCTTCTATTGCTCACTAAACTTTGATGTGGTCAAATTTTGGCCATTTAACATTGATATAGTTGAACTTTGGACACTAAACTTTGAACTTCTCCCTTTTAAATCCATATTTGTCATCCTTTAACAAATTAAATTGTTTACTACAATAACATTTTTCACCACGCATTTACACAATAAAATATTCTATATACAAACCAATAAAGTTTCTTTAAATTTTAACCACACAATCTCAAAAAAATAAATAAAAAAAATAAAAAAAAATTAAAACTCTATAAATTCTCCCATAATGAGAGACAAACAGGCTCTAAAACTCATTAATTTTCATACTTATTTTTAATCATATTTATACAATAAAATATTTTTTATGTAAACTCAATGCCAGAAAATCAATATTTAAAACACATACACACACACACACACACACACACACACACTCTCTCTCTCTCTCTCTCTCTCTCTCTCTCTCTCTCTCTCTAAATGGTGGTTATCAAATAGGGACTAAATTTCGTTGTTGTTGACTTTAATTTGATTTTATCAATAAATATATTGTGTTTTTCATTACAATTAGCTCACTTCCATTGCATAACTTTGCAAAACGTCTTTTATTGCTCCAAATAAATTTCGATTTAATTAAAATTCATTGTTAAGATTTGGATTTAATTTTATTTAACAACAAATTCATTATGTGTTTCGTTGTAAAATTCACATATTATAATGATGATAGCTTAAAATTCTATAAAAATAAATTAAATTAAATTTAAAATACTGTGTAATTAAGTAATCATTCAAGTTTTGAAATAATTTGAGGTCAATATAATGATATGCTCTCCTCTTTGATCCCTTTACGATGAAAACTTGTAACAGGCATTGGATGATGAATTGATGAGATTATGCTCGAGGAGTCTGAATAACGACCTTGGTTTCTATACTAACGATGTTTACAAACATCAATAAATTAGGTTCACAAACTCTTGTGCACAACACAAGGAAGCAACACCGTTATACACTCACTATGTTAGGAACCGAAATCAAAGATAGTATTTAAATTTACATATAACATGAATGTAACACCCTGAATTTTAATTATATCCTCGTATGAGCTAAAAACTAATGTTGATAATTTAGCAAATGAAATAGTCCATGTCCAGTCTTGTTGTCACACTAAAGTTCAAAAGTTAAAGTGGGAAACATGACCCACTTATTTGCATAAATAACTTATTTTGCATACGTATGCTTTTAGAATTTATCGTAAATTATTTGAATTAAATATTTAAGTATTTCAAAAGTTGATAAAAGATATCTATATTATATTCATTTTGCAGCTCGTGCTAAATATATAAATTGTCTCAAGAAGAAATAATTTTGGACTAGTCATATTTGAGTTATTTTGGTAGAAGGAAAAGTATTCTAAATTCTATATTTTATTAATAGAAAAAAAATATATAATAATTATTATTATTATATATATAATATAAAATAATCCTTGATTCCTTCAACATTGTCCTGGATTGAAGCAAATTCTTCTTGGAACGCTAGCACAGCATTTGTTGAGAAGTGGTATTATGCACTATAATGTACAGACCATGGACGTAAAGGACTTGCCTTTTCATGTCAAATAATGAAAATTCGATATATAACATGCGACGGAAAGCAAAACCGGAACAAGTTAGATCGCCCTCTTCCTCAGAACATCCATTCTTTCCGATACTTCCTCTGCAATCGTCTCGAGCTTTGGTGCATTAGAAGGTTTTTTAGGAGAAATCATAGGAGATGGTGCAACCTCAACCCAATGGTTCACGTACCTTATTGGTTTTCCCATAATCACCTCTGACACACACAAAAAAAAAAATAAAATAAAATAAAATAAAAAATTTGCTTTTTCTTGGCCTAGTTTTTCTTCCTTGAGAGGCCTTTGAGAGAGATTTCTTGATTATCAAAGCTAATAGAAAATGGTGGGATGGGAAGAATTCATGCAAACGATGTTTAAATAAGCTCGTTTTGGAACCTACGATTGGAAAAAATCACAGGAGAAATCAGGAACCTCATGGCAAATTAGAATGTCAAGTGTCCGTTGCTTCCAGATGGTCTCTTCCTCCACAATTCCCCACAGAGCAAGTCACCGTAGTAGTCAAATTCTTGGAAGTTTCCATTTGAATACAACATTCTTGGACTTGTCAAGGGACAAGAATTCTCAAGCATATAAAGCCCTTTCTAGAAGAAAATTGTCCTTCTATCTATACTAGAATCGCATCGTTTAAAAATTTTAAGTCCTTCAAAGAAATAAAATTTATTTTTTAAAAGACCCTAGATGTAGGGGCCACAATCAATTTTTCATCAAAGGTCTCATACATGCACAATTTTTTTAAAGGTGGTGGTGACAACTTAAATTTTTGACAATTATCTGCTCCAAATCCAATAGTATGTTGAACCTTTTCGTCTAAAAATCTTAAAAGCTATTACAGAATGGATGAACTTAGAAATGCTAAGTACAAAAATATAAAGGATGAATAAAGTCCTTGTGCAAGGAAAAGCCTGCAACTGCTTGTACATCAGGGATTAGAACATCGATATATCTCCGCAATTGAGTGGCATTGACATATAAAAGAGGGTGAATATCTCATTCTTCCATAAATGAGTGGCGTTGAGATATGAAAACACTGCAGTAAGTTGTCAGAAGGTACTCTGGTTTTGTGCAATTTCTTCTTCATCAACACTGGAATAGTTCAGTGGCTTGTGATCCGACATTTGTTCGTATATTGTTATGAGGGTTAGGTCAACGTGGAGTAGAGCGCTGATGAAATTGGAGTCCGGCTGGAGGGATGGATGTGGATGATTTTTTAACAGATGGAGAGATTTGGTTCCAAGACATCATTCCAAGAAAATGACACTAGCTCCTTCAAGCAGATTTTTCCTTCTTTTTAGAAAGTTTCGTGCTAATCCTGCGTTTTCCATGCTTTTCTGATTCAATACTGTCTTTCAATTTCTCCAGAGCTGGTTCAAAAGAATGATACAGGAATCAGAAAATAAGAGAAAATGCATTACGTGAATAGTATCAATATGTATGCATTTTTCTTTTGCATGGAAAAAGTAACATTTCTGGAATATGTCAAGTTTGAATTACCTACAGGATGAGTTAAACGATATAACAAATTTCCAGAAGTCAGTAGATAAAATAATGCGTGAATTACCTGTAGTATACAGAGAACGAAGCGACTCTATTGATTCAGACGGGATAGAATAAACAGGACAGGAATTATTATCAGCCTTCTGCAAAATCTTTTTGAATCGCTTAACCTGAAATGAATTCAAGCTCGTGAATTCCAAGTGTTACGAGCTATATATGAGGAAAAAATTATCAAATTTCAGAACCATCATAATTCATAGTTTGCATATATTTATTTGATTTATGTTACTTAGAGAAACATGCAAATGATATTCGATATTACTTCAGAATGCATGGTGACAAAACATGTAAATAAAGGAAAATACAAAGAATCAGAAAAGCAGAATTGGTAAAGAGAAAAGACGAAAAGGATGGGAAAGAAGAAGCAACTGAAGAACCACAACACAAGCAGGAAAGAAAAGGAAATACCTCATCTTTGAGCAACAATGTGAAGCAACGCCCAGTTTGACCAGCTCTCGCAGTTCGACCAGCCCGGTGAATGTATGTTTTGATATATGCAGGCATATCATAATTAATTACATTTTTCACCCCTTCAACATCCATTCCACGAGTCATCGCATCAGAGGAAACTAGCACTTGTATTTCTCCAGATCGGAATGCCCTCAATGTCTTGCTGCAAGACAGATTTCTTGGCAAATTACAAAGCAATCGTGCACAACTGTATAAATATTGACCATGAATTGATCAAGAACTGGACATTGCAATCATCAATCTGAAATCTCTTTGTAACTGACCAGATTTTTAGTATTCCCTTGAGAAAAAATTATGACATTTCACATAGGAAACCTGAAAATGCTTATTGTATATCTATTTATCACTCGATTGCATGAGTTCACAGCTTGAGCTTGACAATAAATCCCTGTTCTTATCTCCCATAACAAGCAAAGCAAAATACTACTGTCGGGCATAATAAAAATCTTACAATTACAAAAACCCCATTCATTAACTTCCTATTTAAAACAGACAACAAAATATACATTACTAAGGATGCAACTTCAAACGCACGTAACTGAACTGAAAATTTTTGACATGAAATATGGCCCGTCATCATATAACAAATCAGAGCTGGCTGTCATTGACTCGAGATGAAAGAGATACGTGAACTGTGAACATATATTTTGAATAGTAATTTAATGTGACTAGAAAAAAATCAGAAAGCCACTTTCCAGTAAGATATATACAAGCATTCCCTTGAGCTTAGTTCATGTTCTCTCCCCAAAAGAATCCTTTCCAAGGAGAAGATATAGGTGCATTTTTCACTTCTATACAAACTCAAAAGCCATAGTACAATGGCTTCAAATATTCAGAGGGGGACCAACTGACTCAACTGGAACCAATATCACTGACACAAGGATAGGTCTATTTGATATATTCACATGCAGGTTATGGAACCTGTAGCACATAAAGCTTATTTTTAGTCAATTTCTCTCTGGACAGATGTGAAGTTAAAAGCAAGTAGCATGGTCAGCGTGCATCCCCACATCAGTATTATTTCCTTTTATCGCCATTATAGCATCACTTTCGGCAGAGGTGAGGGGTATATTATTTGTTTCAGAACATCTGATTATAGTTGTACTTACCCCACCATAAGCAAAAATGTATGCGTGTGTGTGTAGAGGGAGAGAGAGAGAGACTGAGATGAATCAAATTTAACTCATGCCAAGTTGCCAACAAAACCTTTATCCCACCATCCCCTCTTGATTTCCATCTATGGAAAACATTAAGAATGAACAGAAAATAATTTATTTTAATAAACAATGTAAGTGGGATTAGACTACCTTCTTATGGTCTGACGTTGAAGACGTGAGTATTCTTTGATCTTGATTTGCCGATCACCAAAGAAATTCAGTAAGGTGCACAGCCTATGAGTTGACTCCACAGATGACGTGAAAACAATACACTTTTCCCCTAGCAAAGTTTCCAATAGGACGAGTAGATAAAGTGGTTTAAACTTGGGTTCACATATCTGCACTCAGTTGAAGGAATTCATCAATATAAACATTAAGACAAATGTTACTATTTGACCAGTCAGAATTGCAGCCAAAGATAATAATTTAAACAGCAACGTACTTGAAACAAAAGACATGGAACAAGTACCAAAAATTTATGAATCAAGTTTTTGCATCACTTCAGTTGTTCACCTCTTGAATTTCAGAATGTACTGAATTTCATATATATAGATCCCACAAGATATTTTTCAACTTAAAAAACAAAACAAAACTGAGGTTATTTTTCTTTTTGATAAGGAGAACAAAAACAAAACAATAAAAGTTGTAATTAAATAAAAGAGTGCTTGCTTTCATCATATTCTATAACCACAAAATTTGAAGCAAATATACATGTGGTAATAGAATACTTTAAGAAAGAGCATGGTTGCGCATGTAAAAGACTTGTGTTTTGCCAGTAGAATTAGATATCCATACCACTTTGAGGGATTTTAGTTGTTCGGGGAGCTGGTAACGCCTTGGTCCAGTAGTCAAGAACAAAGGATGGTGAAGATCAAGCTGCGCAAGCTTGCTTGGATCCTGGGTTAATGTGGCTGATAGAACCATCTTCATAAGCCTCGGGTAAGGCTTAGCCTTAAACCCCCTTTCCACCCCACTGCATCAATTCCACATAGGTCCAACTAATAACGTTAGTGTCTACTAGAAAATGCTTCAAAATCCGAAGGAAAAAAAAAAAAAGAAAAGAAAAAATGGAAAAGAAAAGAAAATGAGATTTGAAACCCCAAAAGTCACACCAAGTGCAATAACAAAAGCAGGAGAATGCCTCTGACAGAAATCAAATAAGATACAAATATTTATCAAGACTTCTAATGCCTACAATGTAGTGCACACATCTATTTTCTCCTACCATTTGCCATACATTTATTAAGATGTAAGACTAGACTTAATTGAACTGAGTTATTATATACAATTAAAGTGTAACATGCACCACCAGAAAAAAAAACAGTAAGGATACCATCCAATGATCAATCTCGAGTACTTAACTATATTATACCAAACATATCAAGTCTTTAAACCTTTCGTGAAAATAAACCAGCATAGAGTAGAACTCACAACGTCCTGATTGTCTTCAAAGACCCAAAAGTAGGAGACAAAATGTTGCTTGCATCTGGATACAGACTTTGATTAGGAGTGTGTGCCAATTGAAGGACGGTAGGCAGCCATGATTGATAAGCCTCCCTAAGTAACCGATCTGTTTCGTCAACCACCTGAATATTTATCTTGTCAGTCATATGGGTAACTGACCAACATTTTGCCCAAGCAAGCGCGCACAAAAAGAGAGGGTTAAGACCTGAATGTAAATGTTCAGGAGCCTCGACAAATATATCATTTTCAGTTTTCATTATTAATTAATCGCCGTTCAAACTACAGGCCACATTACGCTTATAAATAGTTTCCAATTTATTCAGGCAAAAGAAGAGTCATTCTATCCACCAAAATGACTCCAATAGAGAGAAATAATTGACAAGCAGAAGATGATACTTCCAACGACAACACAGCAAAGTAGCTTAAAAGAACTAGAAATGCTTGGCCAAATACTTGGAAACACAGTGTTAGAAGTCAATACTATATAGAGGCAACAGAAATGAGAGATCACAAATTTAAGTTGTTAATGAAAAAAAAGATTTAAAAGAAATTTTGATCAAAAAGGGGTGGTCAAGGGCTTCAATAATATATGAGTTTATAGATAAATGGAAACAAAAATTTAAGAGCAAATGAAGAATATAGCTCCACTAGTAAAGTCAATCTCTCGCTTACAAGATAACAAAGATGATCAAGCGTAAAACCCTTCGTATTGTAAATATGGTCCATCAGCCTTCCTGGTGTTGCTACCAGTATGTCCACTGAACTTCTTAAGCCCAATAAGAAATCTTCTGAGTCAAAACAGATACCAGCCTCAAGTGTAGGCTTCTTGATGAGCTCCGAAATTTCATCAGCAATTGAAGACTGACCAACAGCCAAACCCACAGACAAGCCCACTGCAGAAGCTAGGGAAGCAAAGACTTCCTTGACCTAAAAAGAACAACATCAAAGCTAATGTCATTTAGTGCTTTTCAATATTTAATGAGAAAGTCTGCCATAAAAATGATTAGAATTACAAGAAAGCACAGACAAGTATAATCTGGAAAACAATTTAATGATTAGATCATATACAAAACAATAATTGAAATAAAAAGCTATAAATATGCAGTGAATTTATAGAGATGAATATATAACCTGCACAGCCAAGTCACGAGTGGGCAACACCACCAAAGCACGGAGACATTTTATTGCACGAGTTGACAACGTCTGCACAATTGGTAAAGCATAAGCAAGAGTTTTCCCACTCCCGGTAGGTGAATTTATACAAAGATCACGTTCAAAAGAACCAGGTCCAATTGTCTCTTGCCAGACTGCAACTTGCACAGGAAAGAGTGAACTGATACCCATGTTACATAAAGCTGCCTCTAACCTGAAAATAATACAACTAAAATAAGGAAAATGAGGAGGGTGATAGGGGGAGAAAGAGAAATTGGATCATAGAAGAATAAGTAACAAATCATTCAACCAATCTAACCACAGTATAATAAGTTGTGATGGTATTAATACATCCATAATTTAATCCAAACCCTTTTCCCCTGCTGCCAGAAATTTCCACTCAGCACAACAAACAAGAAAATATACAGAAAATAAAATATATACATTGTCCAGCTGCAATATATTACCTGGGGTCCAGAAAAGGGAGGAAATTAAGCGGACATTCTTCATAGAGGCTATTATCAACTGGATTTCTCATCCATGGCAACACCGGCACACTTGTCCTCTTTTGCTCTGTAGCTACCTCCATTACTTCAATCTAAATCCCTTTAAACCATTAAAAATCAAGCCGTTATTTCTTCAACTAGTTAGCTGCCAACATATGCGTGCAAAGCTGCACAGATGAAAGTAAACTCATAAATAACTACAAACCAAACTAATAGTCTAAAACTAGTCCAATGGCGTTAATTACCTTGAACAATTAAAAACACAATAATTCAGACCCAATAATCAAGTAAATTGACTTGGTTATTCTATTCATTCAGTGCCAAATACAGCAAAAGTACAGCACAAAAACACAATGCTACAACTAATAATAAAATTACGCCCGACTGCCGATTGAGCAAATTCTTTGTTTAAAAAAGACAGTAATTGCAGCAAAGAAGAAGAACTAGCAAGGTAGAGGGCCAACTGATTCGTGTATATAAAAATTACAACTGTTTTGACTCCATCATCAATAATCTGATTTAACAAAATCATTGAAAAAAGTACTTATTCCTGCATATTTTTTTACAATGGAGTACTTACCAAGTGAGATGAAACCAAGATAGAATTTTGACAATTAATCCCGTTCTTCTTCTTCTTCTTCTTCTTGCTGTTTCTTTGCTGGTGCTGCCGCTGTTTTTCGGCTGTTCCAGAGCCGTTTGATTTTGTTTAGGGCTAAAGGGTATAAAGGTAAAATAGAAAATGAAAACTTTATTTTCTTTTAATAGAAATAACGGTCAGAGGATAAAGAAAGTTTCAAAAGTACCACCATCGGAGACGGAGACAATAGACGAGAAGATAAGAGAAGAAATGGGTGCGAGCAGTGACCCGAATCAAGATGCGTCGGACGAGCAACAACGAAGATCCGAGATCTACACTTATGAGGCTCCATGGAACATCTACGCCATGAATTGGAGTGTTCGCAAGGACAAGAATTACCGCCTCGCCATAGCCAGCCTTCTCGAACAGTACAACAACCGGGTTGAAATCGTTCAGCTTGATGATTCCACCGGAGAGATCCGCCCCGACTCGGCGCTATCCTTCGAGCACCCATACCCGCCGACAAAGCTCATTTTCATACCCGATAAGGAGTGCCAGCGCCCTGACCTTCTTGCCTCGGCTTCTGATTATCTCCGCCTCTGGCAGATATCGGATGGCGGTGGTTCCTCTGCGGACGGTCGGCGCGTGGAGATGAAGAGCTTGTTGAATAATAACAAGAATAGTGAGTTTTCTGGTCCGCTGACTTCTTTTGATTGGAATGAGGCGGATCCGAGGCGTATTGGGACTTCTAGTATTGATACTACTTGTACGATTTGGGATATTGAAAAGGAGGTGGTGGATACACAATTGATTGCTCATGATAAGGAGGTTTATGATATTGCCTGGGGAGGTGTTGGGGTTTTTGCTTCGGTTTCTGCTGATGGGTCAGTTAGGGTTTTTGATCTCCGGGACAAGGAGCATTCAACGATTATTTACGAGAGCTCCGAGCCTGACACTCCGTTGGTTCGGTTGGGGTGGAATAAGCAGGACCCCAGGTACATGGCCACGATTATAATGGATAGCAGCAAGGTTGTGGTTCTGGATATTCGCTTCCCAACTCTTCCAGTGGTGGAGTTGCAGAGGCACCAGGCCAGTGTGAATGCAATTGCATGGGCTCCTCACAGTTCCTGCCACATTTGCACAGCAGGGGATGATTCTCAGGCGCTTATCTGGGATCTTTCCTCCATGGGGCAGCCAGTCGAGGGTGGGCTAGATCCTATTCTGGCATACACGGCCGGTGCTGAAATCGAGCAGCTGCAGTGGTCTTCCTCCCAGCCTGACTGGGTTGCCATTGCATTCTCCAACAAGCTGCAGATTCTGAGGGTATGAGTAGATGATTCTATTTGCCAATTAGTGGTATGACTGACCATCATCAGCCTCTACATTAGCCAGTTGCTGAGTGCAATCGATTATCTGAATTCAAAACTGTTTCTTTTTCTTCTTTTTCTTTTCTTTTTTTTTTTTGTTTTTGTTTTTGGTATTAAAGCTTCGCAAATTGTTGCATTCAAAGAGTTAACCTACATCTTATGAACATCCATTGTTCTGTTATCTTGTATGAAATAGGCAGTAATTGTAGTTTCTGGCCTGGTTAGAAAGGAAAAAGGAGCCACTTAATTATGTGTCATGTTACTGTTAATGACTATATATATATTTCTTTTTGTTTTTTTTTTTTTTTTTTGGTGTTGGGGGGGGGGTTGGGGGGCT